TACCCCACCCTGGGGTAAGTTGCTTATACTCAAGGTGTAAGTTGACTCGCAATAATAAAAGCTTAAAGGTTCTATTTAAGTGCATTCCAATAATATGTTAACCCCCCGCCCCTTTTTTTTTTAAGGAGTCATAGCTGAAATATACTTTTATCAATATCATCAAACTTTTGGATCATGTCATTGTAACATTTTAAGCAATAGAAAGTAAATATAATTAAAAATACAGTGACAAAACAAAACAGTGTTCCCAATTTATGGTTATACAATAAGAATTAAAACTTATATTGTTTTATTACATGAATATTTTTAACTAATGGAGTTTCAAATCGGCTAGCAGCAATTATTGCAAATGAAAAACAAAAATTTTCCGATTATGCACGACTCGTGAGCCCAAAGGTGACATTGGGTGCATTGAACCTAAACTTCCTCTGGTTTACTTTTAGAAACATTCCAACAAAATGGAATGTTTCCAAAACCAAACAAAAACACTCTTCTTCAACAGAGCTATTTGGACAATTCAAACTTTTCTCCATTAAGTGTAAACTTCCTTTACTATTTGATCTTTTACTCATCTTAATATTATCTTCATTTAACTTTTTTGCTTGTTTTCTCTCATCAATTGCTAACTTTTTCTTTTTAGCTGATTTTTTCTCTATTTTTAAAATATTCATGTTTGGTGAATCTGTTAAAATTGATGTGGTTCTACTTCTTTTATAAGCCCTAACTCTTTTTCTTGGTTTTTCTTGGTTCACTTTTTTTGAATGGTCTTAAACCTTGAGGCGATAGAGCTACAGTTGACTCTGTAGATGCACTGTGTACATTATTACTGCTTGAATATGAAATACCTTGACGTGGTTCTATATCTTTTGAGCAACCAGCATTTAACATGTCATTCTCAGATATTGTAAAGTCAACATCCATTACATTACTTATATTTAGCGCTGTACTTTCCCCAGCACAGTCTTGTTTCGGGGGTGGTCTATCTGTGGTATAGGCTAGCATAGAATAGTGTTCACCAAAAATGTTAACATTTAGTGGGTAAATTCCTGTTTTTGTTAAACCAGCCTTGATATTATTAGGGGTACATGCTAATGGAAATGAATTACCCACAATACCTGGTATACTGTAAATAGACATTGTGGAACCAGGGTGCGTTGTCATCCACGCATCGCAAGCTGTGTTTGTGTATTTTTTAAAAGGTCCAAATACACTTCGATCTAGAGGTTGAAGTTTCTGGCTGCAATGAGGAGGAAATGAACAAACCGATACCCCATTTTCTTTAAAATAATTTAAAGCCTTTACTGAGAGATGAGAGTCATGATTGTCTAATAGCAACAAAACAGGTTGTTCTTTTGTACTTCTAGCATATTTGACAAAATGATGAGAAAACTGCAAAAATTGAACTTCAGTCATCCAACCAGATGGGTTTGCAGCGCCTGCACTTCCATCAGGAGCACCATTTAAAAAATAGCTTTTAAACTTCATATTTAATATAAGGGAAATTAAAGTCTCATGCAGTAAGAAGGCCTTGGTACTTCTTATTTAAAAAATATCAAGGCTATAATTGATTTCAGTATTTCATTATTAATTGCAGAATCTTAAAAATTGGGGTTGTTGTTGAAGTTTTGTGGAGGTCTGTAGAATGATCGAGTCATTGTTGAAATCAACTAAGCAGCCGTGGTGCAGTGGTAGCGTTTAAGCAGCCATAGCGCAGTGGTAGCGCGCTTGCTTCAGAAACGTAAGATCCGTGGTTTAAACCCCACATCTTTGGCAAGTTTTGCAACATCGGTTGGGAAGGAGGCGAGAACTTCCTATTAAATGCTCTTTCGCGATGCTTTGTGATAAGATCGTAAGGACTTCTGGAAACACCTTAATCAACTTTAAAAAAAAAAAAAAAAAACTATGCACCACATCTGTTTAGTAGAAATAGTTTTTAAGTTAATTTTAAAAGATATGCTTTCAACTTGAGAAAAAATAAGATTTTTAGTGACGTAGATTGCTATTCCGCCTCAAAAATACTGATAATTTCTATTTGAATTGCATAAATGATATCCGTTGAGCTAATTAAATCATCGCGAAACCATTTTTAACTTATAAATATGTTGTGTAGCTTTTCAAGTTCGACGCATAATTGTTGATCAGAGTGCTTAACTCTGTTTAACCCAGTGGGCACGGACGTAAAAAAGACGTCTATTAAACGTCTTATAAAAGTTTTGGACGTCTTTTGAACGTCTTTTGAACGTCTTTTGAACGTTTTGACGTCTTTTGAACCTTTAAATGACGTCTTTTTTTGGTCCGCTGCCCACTGGGAAAGAGTTAGGGTTAGTATACATGCATTTAAAATACATATAAATTAAATTAGAACTGTTTAGTTGAGACTGTAATTATTGTTTGTTTGGAGAACTAAATGTTGGTGTTTGAAGTTTAGACTTTTATTCATTTTTTAATGTTTCCTTTGCTTTTTAAATTGCAATAGAGTGTGTGGCCATTAATGTGAAGTATGGCAATTAATGTGAAGAGTCTAAGTGACATCAATGCAGCGGATCACAACACAGCCGTTGTAATTTATTATTTATTTTAACTCCTTCGATCAATGCAGAAATTTCAGGTGAGCAAGGTTAAAATAGAACACTGGTGATTGTTGTAACTTGATTATGATGGTAAAGTATTGATGCAGATAGCCATAAGTATTTTATTTACTTTTTCTAGTGATTTTACCTTTTCAATAAAATTGCTGATAAAATTGTGAATTTCACCAATCCTGGCATGGGTGCATTACATACTGGAAAATTCTCTTTTTCAAATCAAGTGTCTTAAAAAGAGAATTGGTCAGTGCCTTAATTTTTGTAGTAGTGCTTCATTTTTATAGAAATCCGTATTATTGATAATAACGGCTACCACTTTGAGTCAGTGAATATTCTCCTGTTGTAAACTTTTTTATATTACAAACCATATTAACACATACTAAGAGAACTAATATATATAACCATATAGGTCTCGCAATATATATAACCATATTAACATATACTATGAGAAGTTTAAATAAACTATTTCCGTGATTTATTCAAAAAATATTTTTGCTCCCCTTGACAAATACCCCGTCAGTTATATAAAGTTTTTTTTTCCTGCCATTTCTGCCATTACATTACATTTTGAAAAAAAACTTTATTGAATGTAATCAAAATATATGTATTATATAAGTAAAAAACTAACGTTATCAAAATATATAAAAAAATCGTACACATTTAAACTTAGCGCAGTGAAAACTTCATAATGGCGTCTACGCAAAAGAATACAGTGCTGACATTGAAACATAAATATCGTGCTTTTAGAGATTTCAAAAAAAGTCAAAATAAAAAGAATAAAGCCAAAAAGTTTAGTGTTCCTCAAAAAACTTTAACTTGAATTAACCATAAAGAAGACATAATCATTAAGAGTCTAGTCACTTTGAGCAAAGAGACAAAAGTTAATTTTTGGAAAGCATTATTACGTAACAAAGCTGTATATAAATGGTTTATTAATGCACATGAAAAAATGTACTAATTTGTAAACATTCTTGTTAAGCAGAAAGCTTTAGACTTTGAAAAAGAAGTCAACATAATGAATTTTAAGGCTTAAGAATGGTGGCTAGATCCTCGGAAAAATGTTATATAAAAAAATCTTTTTGTTAAGGAAAGCTTGTTGTCTGAAGAAATGACAGCAATATGGAAGCAGACTCACTTGCTCACAACGCTTTGAAGGTAAAAATTGAGAATAATTGTAATACTGTTGAATTTAGTTCATTTTATCAACAGCAAACATGACAAAAACCTTTCATCTAAAATATGAACAATGTGCAGAAGAAAAATTTGGCGAAGTTCCTTTGGCAGACCTAGCAGCTGGTAATAAGGTTGGCTAAGTTAAAAGTCCCAAAATAAATCCTGGATGGAATTGTAACTGGTTATGTAAGTCCTGTCGCAAAGCTCAATGCTGAGATAAGGAAAGTTGCTCTATTTATAGTTAGCTACACAGCTCATCATATTCTTGACAACCTAATATTAATTGAACTAATTTTTTTACCACTCAACACAACATCCAAAACTCAACCATAGAAGTCATAAAAGCATTAAAGGCTATTTTTTTGCACTAACGTTGTGAGGTTTCAGATCATAGTTTAAAAATTTGAAACAAACATTTTTTATTGTTTTGGTTAAAAAATGATTGAAATAATAAAATTCAAAAAATCTATCAGAAAAAATAGTAAAATCCTATCGCATACCTGGAACAAACGTTACAATAACACCTTTATCCAAATATTGCAACGTCGCGACGTTCTCGCGAGGTAACTAAGTTCCAACGACGCATCGTTGGAATTTAGTTACCTCGCGTCGCGACAAAAATACAACCAAATCACTAAAACGGTTCGACGTCTTTTTCCTACTTGGAATATAAATTAGTACATATAAAAAAAGTTTACACTCTAGACATAAATAAAATAAATTGTACATTAAAATGATTACTATGTAAAATTATTTTAATTTTAAAATTATATCAAATAATTTTTACAGCGAGAATTGAATAAGCAGATATTTTTGAATTTTCAAAATTTTGTTAAAATACTAAAAAACCTATAATTTCGCAGTTGCTAAATATTTTTAAAAGTTTATTAAAAAAAGGTGTGCAAAAAGTAGCCTAACCAAATTCTATGTTAGGTTATAACTTTTAAAATTAAACAAAAATAAATATAGTTTAAAACCCTTTATTACAAACAACTACATAGTTATAAGTAATACTAACGATTAATAACGACTGCTAATGATTACTAATGATTATTAACGACTGCTAACGATTAATAATTATTACTAACAAATTTTATAATCAATAATATAACAAAAATCTTTAAAAAAGTAAAATATGAAGTAAACATTTAAATTAAATAAACTTAATAGCTTTAATATGTTTTATTAAAGAGCAGTTATAGTTTTGTCTTTATTAAATTTTTTATTTAATTTGAATTTCAGACTTCTACAGATAAAACAAACTCCTGTTGCAATAATAATGATTTCTATGATCTTTTGCAAGAAGTAGCAGAAAGTAGAAGGAAAAGTGATTCGCAATCATTTTGTAAAACGTGTGATGATGGAACAAATGCAGCTTTTTTTGGTTATTTTTGTCAAAAATGCCCAAGCGAGTATAAAAAATCAGATGAATGGTTTGGTTGCGAGGTTGTAAATAAAAAGAAAAAAAAAGAAAAAAACTAAAAACGAAATGTGAAACAAAAGTATATATATAAAAAAATGAGTTTAACTCTAAGAGTTAAATTTTATAAGATTATTTTTTTGTGATTGTTAGAATTAATTAAACTTTTTCATCTTATTGCGTTCGTTAGTTGTTACAATCAATTTGCAATCAGAAATGGATCTAAGATAAAAAACACGCATTTTAGGTTAGATTCAATTATTACTTCAAGTATTTTATGTTAGACTATCAATTAGCGCATAGCTAATAAAAAAGTTTATAAAGAATTATTTTCAAAATTAAAATCATTTTTAAGCTTTAAATGTCATGCCGTTGACTTAGACTTTTAGAACGTTGACATTTGTAACGCCAACATATATACAAATATATCAATAAATAAATAATTAAAAATGAAAATTTTGTTATTAAGTAAAAGTAATAAAAAATAAAAATTAATAAAATACAAAAAAACTTGAAGAAGATCATTACGGTTTGTCACTAAGAATCATTAAAATTAAAACGCGCTAAATAACTACTTTTTGATAAAATAAATTTAAATTTAATAAATAAATTCATTAATGATAAAGTTGATTACAATATTATATTAGTTAAAAATTAGTTCTTTAGGAGTATAAAATTCAAGGTATAAATCCAAATTATAACCATAAAAACTTTTCTCGTTATAATTTTAATAGTTCTAATACTGCAACTTGTTATTCTAAAAATTCAGTTTTACATATTTGCCGTGATCTACTTTAGCTTTTGTATTCTAAAAAAGATCATTCTGAAATTGTTTTTTTCCACAAAAATCACTACCTAAATTGTTGCCAAATGGTGTGCTATAAAAATTTGACGTCGAAATTCAAAACTCTTTTATAAAATTTGTAGTTAAGTTTAGGATTAGTATTGGTTAGCAAGGTTAGTAAAGTTAGAAGTGGTTTATGTAAAATATATTGTTGTAAAGTATTACTGTAAGATTGTTGCATTGCTGGTAAGAAGTCTTTTGGAAATACAATATAAATACATTAGGAAAAAGAAAACAAATACTTAAAAATTAAAAACAAAAACTTAAGGAGATCAAATTTCAATTTTAGCAAAGCAAGTTGTTTCTCAGTCTTAATTTTATTTGCAACAACTGAAAGAAGTTTACCACTATATTGCAAAAATGAATACTAGTAATAATCAGCCTATTTACATTGTAAAAGAACTGGTATTTTCAACAAAAAAATGCATTGAAGGATTTGTTTTTTAAACCATATATGACAAAGTTATTTCAAAATAAACTTCATGATGCTTATCGATTTAGTTTTTATTATATTTATGTTTAGTTGTTGTTAATGATGTTAATATAGTAGATGAAATATGTTTTTTCATTGATTCTTCTAAATATATTTACATATTTATCTTGAATAATATCAAACCATAAAAATTTGAGTCACTCAGCTAAAGGAGTAGTTAATTAAAAATGGCAACAACAAAAAGTTGAAGCAGCAAAAGATTTAGATCTTTTAGTGATTTCACTTGTGTCATACAAAGTTTAGAGAAAATATACAACTCTAAGTGCCTAAAAAATAGCTTCAAACAAGATAACAACCACATTGTGTCACGAAATGATTTTTATTTTGAAGCTTTTTTTTTTTTCAAGAAAAAACCTATAGGGGTATGATAGTACAAGTATACAAAAGTATTATCATCGTCCGTGAAAGAACAATTGGTTTAAAATTTTCGATTTTATTATTCTGAACAAATGAGTTAAATTTTCTATTGAAAACATTTGAAACTTGTTCTCACATAATTCACTTATAAATAAGCAGTGTCCTTACAACTTATAATAAATAAGCAGTGTACTTACAATTTATAATAAATAAACAGAGTCCTTGCAACTTATAATAAATAAGCAGTTTACTTTCAACTTATAATAAATAAGCAGTGTCCTTACAACTTAGAAACAACAAACAAAAAAACATCCAATTTCTTAAGAAAATTTTAAAAAAATCAGCTTTTAGCTTTACAGATCAAGCAACTTAAAAAAAAGGCTTACACTTATCAAATAAAGTTTTAAAGATATTATTTTAAAGGGTAATTTCTTCCTTTTTATTTTTTTTTATACAAGGAGGCTCCTTAATTGTGGTTAAAACCCTCTCTTTACTCTATAACTCCAAAACTGCAAACCTTGACAAACAAAGCCGCTTCGTGGAAAAACAAGTTGAGCACGTTACTAGTAGGGACGTGGTGGGGATAGAACTAGGAACCTCTTGCTTATAAAGTGAGCGCTCTACCACTACACCACTACCGTATGTCATATGTTATAATACAGTATTCTCTACAGCAAAGTTTAAAGGAATTCTTACTGTTGTAATCAACTAAACAGTTTAGAAGATTTTTATGGTAGTCCGGATAATTATTGAACCTTCCTTTTAAACCATTAGCCAGTGGGGATTACTATTTACTTTTTGAACTGCTACCAGTAATGGTTGAAGTCATGATGGAGTGATTCTGTTTCTTGTTCTAAATAAATGCCTAGTGAAAAGTTGTGGCAACCAATATACTGTGTCACATGAAGAAAGAGAGTATGCGCTTTGAGTGACACTCGTGTTCGGTAGCTTATAGTAGAAATCCTTAAATTCTTTAATGAGGAAGCAATTGTTGTCTGAAGAACCTTTCCAACGGAAGCTTGAACAATAAATTTAAAATGCTACTTAGAAGCCTGAATAATCAGTTTGAATGTAACCAGATGTTACACCAGGTACAAGGATGAGCACTTGGGTAAGACTGCAAATCATAAATAATGTTTGGAAGCTTCATGCCACATGGCAACACAAAAGGCAATCTGTCAAGGCTTTCTTCATGATCTGATTTACATTGTTATAATTTTCAGAGAGGTAAAAGAATCACTTAAACAAAAGCATATTAAGGATATATGTTAAACAGAAAATGTTTCACCTGGAGTAACTGAAAGATGCCTTCTTAATTTTTGACTAAGATCCGATTCCTCGACTAGGATGTGTCAAGGAATGGGAGCAGAAAAAATATAGCTGCATTTACTAATAAGTTTCAAGACAATTTTAGAATTACGTCTGACTCTGACAGCCTATTGATCAACATGTAGTTTATTTAACAGTTTTATCCATCTTATCCGGGAAATAGAGATATAATTTTGCCATACTCAGACGCAAATTTTGCAAAGAGCAAAAAGCTAAAAATACGGACCAATTTTTTGTACTTACTTTTAAGGAAGCATATGAGTTACAATTGAAGAAGATACAATAAAAAAGAGCTCAAAATGAAAAAAAAATATGTAAATTTAAAAGACTACAAAACTATAAAATAAAAGAAACAAATTTTCAAAGGATGATCCTAGAAAAAACCGTTGCTACAAAAATGAACCAAAAAAGTATCAAAAAAATAATGAGTAACTTGATTAAGTTGTTATGAATTGGTTTTTAAAATATAACATTTTAAACATTAATGTTATATTTTAATGTTAGTTTTATTCAAAAAAGTTTAAACAAAGTTTTCGTTATTTTTTTTGTTTAGAAATATTGAAATGAACTTTTTGACTAACGCTCCGTTAAGCTTAACAAAGAGATGAGAATCCCCTATAGAACCTATTATGTGTAAATCAGGGGCCTCTATTCTTAACGATAAAATTGAAATCTTTCTATATTTTATTGTGACAACTTTAAATCATTACCGACAAATAAAAAAAAACTGAGGTTCAAGATTTTAAGGAATTGAAAATATTATGTGTCTTTTATTAGTTTATTTAAAAAATGAACTAATATAAAGCTTACATAATATTTGAAAACTTTTGTAAAACTTTTTCAGCACCTGCAGATTTAAGCAAGTACAAAGAGTATTTAACTTATTTAAAATATTAGCATTATAAAAGAAGAGATGCCCCTGATCAACACATAAAAGGTTCTTGTTTAAAATGTTAAACCTAGTTTTATGTTTTGATTTTTATTAACATTCAAAATAAAATTTTCTTTTATTTGTAACTAACACAGTTAACTTTTTTTTTTTAATCTTGCCCATGAACAAGGTTGTGTAACTCATCTCCTGAAAACATTTTTCACAATTTAGGCATCCTAATTAGACTTTAACAAGTTTATTTTTAGAAGAATTTCTAGTATCAGGTCAAGTAATTATTTTTTAAATGAAATCCTTTTTATTAAAACTAATCTTTAATATTTTTACTTTTGCTGTGTAAATATATACAATACGAATGTTATTAACAAGATATAGATAGCATGGGCGAGTAGAAGACGATTGTCCCTCATCGCCAAGCCCCTTGATAAATTCCACGTGTATAAAGTTGGGGTGTATTGGATTGAAAGATTTGAATTCCGTAACCGGATTTATCGGAATTGTTAAAAAATTTCCGGGCGGAACGAAAAACATATTTATGTAATTTCTTACTTTCAAGATTGAAAGTGAAAGCTTGCATCTATGTATGTCTCCCTCCCTCTCTCTCTCTCTCTCTCTCTCTCTCTCTCTCTCTCTCTATATATATATATATATATATATATATATATATATATATATATATATACATATATATATATATAAATATATATATATATATATATATATATATATATATATATATACATATATATATATATATATACATATATATATATATATATATATATATATATATATATACAAATATATATATATATATATATATATATGTATATATATATATATATATACTATATATATATATATATATATATATATATTTATATATATATATATATATATATACATATATATATATATATAATATATATATATATATATATATATATATATATATATATATATATATATATATATATATATATATATATATATATAAATATTTATATATATATATATATATATATATATATATATTATATATATATATATATATATATATATATATATATATATATATATATATATATATATATATATATAATATATATATATATATATATATATATATATATATATATA